ACCAAATGTAGCATCTTAGGCCATTATTTTTTAATGAAGCAAACACTAATTTGTAGCGGGCCAGAATTATTTAAAACAACTCTAAATTAATTACCCCAACGTATTCGGATAACAAGTTTCTAAAAATTTTGGAGAATGGATAATTTAGGTAGCTACTGTTTTTTTTTTTTTTTTGTATATTTTTGGTGATATTGATTTTTTTAAAAAAAATTCTCGTGCTAAACTAATAATCATAGCATTGGCTGACGTCAAGTTTGAGTTATTTTGCTTAAAATAAACATTAATAGTAAGTTATATTTGTGTGATAGAGGCAGCTAATCATACTTTGTAATAGTATTAGAAAGTTCTTGTATGAAGATGCCAAAAGCTGATTGTGTAAGCATGGCCTGCAAAGTCAAACCTTTCTTAAATATTGCAAAGAGATTTCTCCATGAACGTGACCAACAGGAATGACTGGGGTTGTTTTAATCTATTTAATCTGCAATAGGCAGATAAGTATTGCATAGCAACCGATTGTCCATAGCATGTTCCTTGAACCAAATTGATATCCCTGTTTGCAAGAACGGTTTGATGTTCTGAATGACAGAATTATAGTCAGTGATCCAACAAAACTAAGCATCGTGCTCCGAGGGAGGTGCTTCATACAGCTTCTCCAACTGTCCTATTCTTGCAGGAAAGTTCTCAGCATTGGAAATGGATTCTGCAAGCTTTCAGCCATCTGTGTTCATCTATGCCATCGTTTGTTTAATGATCTTTCACTCACCAACTTTTACAATTGATGGGAATGAGACCGATCGACTAAGCTTGCTCGAGTTCAAGGCCAAAATAGCTGATGACCCTCTTGGGGTTATGAGCTCATGGAACAATACTATCAACTTTTGCCAGTGGTATGGTGTTAGTTGTGGCCAAAGACACCAAAGAGTCACAGCATTAGATCTCAGGTCCTTGAAACTTGCAGGCTCCATATCTCCTCATATAGGAAATTTGAGCTTCCTCAGGACACTACTGCTCCAGAACAATAGCTTCAGCGATGAAATCCCCCAAGAAATTGGCCGTTTACGTAGATTGCAGGAAATAAGGCTATCCAATAATTCTTTCACTGGAGAAATCCCATCTAATTTGTCCAGTTGCTCAAACCTCAGTGTCTTTGATCTTGGTAACAACAAGCTGGTTGGGAAAGTTCCGAGTGAGTTTGTCTCCCTTTTGCGGCTCCAGTCCATTGATATTCGATCAAACAGTCTCTCAGGAGGCATTCCTCCCTTCTTTGGGAACTTTTCGTCCCTACAGAAACTTGCTGCATGCTCCAATGGCTTTAGTGGAAGTATCCCTGAAGCTCTAGGCCGACTGACAAAATTACAACACTTTAGCCTTTGTGCTAATAATTTATCAGGTACTATCCCTCCCTTGTTGTACAATATTTCTTCAATTGCAGTTTTCTATGTGGACCGAAACAAAATTCAAGGGACTCTTCCCACTGATTTTGGCATCACCCTTCCTAATCTGGAACTTTTCAATGTTGCTGCTAACCAGTTCACGGGATCTATTCCTGTGTCATTTTATAATGCCACAAACTTACTAAGGTTCTTTGCCCTTCGAAACAAACTTACTGGAAAAGTTCCTAACTTGGATAATCTGCATAAGCTGCAATGGTTAAGCATTTCCATGAATCATCTAGGAAGCGGTGAAGATGATTTGAGCTTCGTCTCCTCATTGGAAAATGCTACCAGTTTTCAGCTACTGGCTATAAATGACAACAACTTTCAAGGGTTCTTGCCTCAATCTATAGGGAATCTTTCGATTACGCTTAAAATACTATCTTTGAGTTGGAATCAAATATCAGGAGCCATCCCAGCTAGTATCCAGAATCTTGTGAATTTGGAGTTATTGTATCTGAATGAAAACACTTTCACTGGTATCATTCCCAGAGAAATCGGAATGCTTAAGAAGCTTAACCATTTGCTTCTTGACTCAAACCAATTCTCTGGGAACATTCCATCCTCAATAGGAAATTTAAGTTTGTTAACACAATTAGGTTTGTCCCACAATCTTTTTCAAGGCCACATCCCCTCAAGTATTGGAGAATGCCAAAGTTTGTTACTCCTGGATCTTTCAAACAACAATCTCACTGGCTCTATCCCTACAGAAGTTTTTGGCCTCTCATCTTTGTCAATATATCTTGACCTATCAAGTAACAGCTTGAATAGTTCCCTTCCGAATGAAGTTGGGAATCTGAAAAATTTAGGTGGATTGTATGTTTTTAGTAACATGTTATTTGGTGAGATTCCTGGTAGTCTTGGAAGTTGTGTAAGATTGGAGACCCTAATGATGCAAGAAAACTTCTTTCAAGGAGCCATCCCTTCAGCTTTAAGTTCGCTGAGAGGCCTTCAGATTTTGGATCTCTCCAGTAACAATTTGACAGGCCAACTTCCAGCATATCTTGAGAATTTTAACTCACTGACAGAATTGAATCTGTCTTTTAATAACTTTGGGGGCATGGTATCAGTAAAAGGGGTCTTCAGAAATGCAAGTGCAACTTCAGTAATGGGGAACAGTAAGCTCTGTGGAGGTATCCGTGAATTTCATTTACCAATGTGCCCAGTTAATGAGTCAAATAACAGCAGATTCTCCCATATAGCGAAGCTAATAGTAATTATCATTTCTGGGTTTCTCGGTGTTTCATCGGTGCTCTTTAGTCTATATGTTTTGTTGGTCTGGAAGAAAACGCAAGAGGCACGTGCTTCAAGCTTTTTAGGCACTTTGCAAGTGTCTTATCAAAGTCTGCTCAAAGCCACTGATGGATTCTCATCTACTAAATTGATAGGGATTGGTAGCTTCGGATCTGTATACCAAGGAATTGATGAGAATGGAACCAAAATTGCAGTTAAGGTGTTGAACCTTCTACGCAGAGGAGCTTCCAACAGTTTTATGGCTGAGTGCGAAGCCTTGCGAAACATCAGGCATCGAAATCTTGTCAAGCTACTAACTGTATGTTCAGGTATTGATTATCAGGGGGATGAATTCAAAGCTCTGGTTTATGAGTTCATGGCCAATGGAAGCCTAGAGGAGTGGTTACATCCAGCAGATGGGGCACCTGATCAGGCACCAAAGACTTTAAATTTCCTACAGAGACTGAATCTTGCCACTGATGTAGCTTGTGCATTGGATTATCTTCACCATCAATGTGAGACAACTATTGTTCACTGTGACCTCAAGCCAAGCAATGTCCTTCTCGATCAAGACATGACAGCGCATCTAGGCGACTTCGGACTGGCAAGATTTCTTCAAGAACCCAGCAATGCTGGTCAAACAAACTCCATTGGAGTAAGAGGAACAGTCGGTTATGCAGCTCCAGGTAAATGTAATTCTACTGATTCATAATTTTAACATTTTTTCTTCGACAAGTCTTTTGTCAGAATTGATGTTATTCAGCTTAAACTTCCATAATTCTTATGCTATTGTAGAGTATGGCATGGGGAGTGACATTTCAACAGGCGGCGATGTGTACAGTTATGGTATCCTCTTGTTAGAGATGTTCACCGGGAAGAGACCCACTGATGATTTGTTCAAAGAGGGATTGGACCTTCACAAATTTGCTAGCATTGATTTGACTGAACGAGTGGCTGATATTGCAGATACTATTCTACTTCAGGAAGTATTTACAATGGAGAAACGCAGAGGCCAAACAGTTCATGAGGCCTTAATTTCAATAATGGAGATTGGAATTTCTTGTTCTGGTGAATTTCCACAGGAAAGGATGAATATGAGTGATGTTGCAGCAAGGCTAAATTCAATCAGAAGCAAATTTGTTTAATCTTGCATTATGTGGAGAATTAACTAACTGATGATTTCTGGTCATGTTTGGCAAACTATTCAATAATGTTTCTATTCTGGTCGTAAACTGATGATTTCTGGTCATGTTTGGCAAACTATTCGAAAATGTTTATTTTCTTGTCGTAAATGAAAGCCCTTATTGTCTCTACATCTTCCATTCGATTCACTTTTCTGGTTATGTTTCTTATTGAGTGCTATTAGATCTGTTTAATCCCAAAAGCTAACTCAAGTAGTAAGGCTTTACCTCACACTTATAACCAAATAGCTAGCTCCTTCCACAATTGATGTAGGATAACATAAAAATCTCCTCATTCACATATTGAATTCTAAATTGGCTATTTCTCGTCAACTTGTGTGGCACGAACACACAGAATTGTTTAACTTGGGATCCGCTATCAGTATTTGGTGCTATTAGACCTTCTCAACTCCAAAAGCTGACTTAAGAAGAAAAGCTTTTCCTCACATTTATAATCAAACACCTAGTCCTTTTCACAACTGATGTGGAATAACACAACATTTTCAACTCATGAACAGTTTCTTTTCAAATTTCTTCTAACGTTGTTATCATTTTACAATCTTCTCATTCACTTATCGGATCCTAAATTGACTATTTCTCGTCAATTTGTGTGGCACGAACACACAAAATTGTTTAACTTGGACTCCGTTACTAGTATTGGATGCTATTGGACCTTCTCAACTCCAAAAAGCTAGCTTAAGAAGAGAAGCTTTTCTTCACACTTATAACCAAAAACTCAATCTTTTTCATAACTGATGTGGAATAACATAACATTTTCAACTCATGAACAATTTCTTTTCAAATTTCTTCTAACGGTGTTATCATTTTACAAGTCATGAAACCATATCTTTTATGGTGTCATAATCTTGAAAAATGAAAGGGCACTCAACTTTCTTTTTCCAATAGCACACCATATTTTTTATTTGCAATCTTTGAATCTTGAAGTCTTGACACCAAAGGACACTCAGGTTTGTTTTTTCTTTGTTGCGTAAGTAATCATCACCCTGTCCAGGTGACTAACTGACTAATCAAGTCTACAATGGAGCTTCACTTACATCCTTCAACATTTTATATAGTTATATGGATTGGTATTGGTATCTCTTTTAAGTGTAACTGTGTTGAATTCTTCACAAAAATTCAAAATAGCAAAGAGATGGGTCCTGAGATTCCAAATTCCATGGATGTGTCACTAACTGACAAGGAAAAGGCGCGCGGTGTTGATTCTATTAATAAGCTTGATGCTGGAGCTTTGTTTGTGCTCAAATCTAGAGGTCAGTTAGTACATAATCATATATTTGTTAGTTCTCTCTTGGTTTTTCCTTTCTCTGACGTCTGCAAAACTATCTGTAAGTCCTCGATTCATCATGAAACTTCATCATTTGTTAAACCAAGTTCCATGATCGAATAGTTTCATCCAAGTGTCGAACTGTCCATAATTGATTGTTCATCAGGTTTCTAGTTTATGCTGTCTTAGACTATCAGATTCTTAATTGGCAACTGCTTTAGGGTTTTTGGGATTACGCAAATGGTTAATATCCAAGGTTTGTAATTGGTGATAGGGTCATGGTTGCATTGTGGATACCACATGACAACAACAATTGTAGCTCCAGCACTTCTGAGTCTTCCCTTTGCTCTGGCCTTAACAGGCTGGTTTGGGGGAATACTATGTTTACTTGTGGACACAGTAGCCACAATCTATTCCTATAACCTTCTGTCACTGGTTTTGGAGCATTATGCAGACATTGGACAGCGTCAACTTAGGTTCCGAGATATGGCAAGAGATATATTAGGCGAGAAACATCTGCTATATGGTTCTTGTTTTTCATAGTTAATGAATGTGCTTGATATTGCAGCGTCAGTGCAAGAAAAAATCATAGAAAATTTTTCAAAAAAAAAATTAAGAACTGCTATTGATGATTCAATTCTCTTATTTGATATAGGGCCAGGTTGGGGCAGATATTTTGTAGGTCCAATTCAATTTGGTCTATGCTATGGTGCAGTTAGTGCGTTAACCCTTCTTGGAGGACAGAGCCTCAAGGTCATTTTCAACCTTTTGCGCTAAGCTTCTAATTAATTCCTCTCTTCATAACCATGGTTTTGTACGAAAGGATATACTTGAACATGGTTGGTTCTGCAAAACCTGATGATAATTATTTTCCTCATTGATTTTGTGACTGTTAGTTTTCTGCGTTGGCAGTTCATTTACTTGCTTTCTAGGCCAGACGGAACCATGCAACTCTACGAATTTGTTGCAATATTCGGTGTTTTCATGCTACTCTGTGTGATCAATATTTTGCAAATATCTTCACAATTTTCTTCCTTCTCTTTGTTTCTCCACGCCTTTTCTCTGATAAAAATATTTTTTTATTTTATAAAAATCAAAATTATTTACCAATGGATATTTTTATTATCTTTTTAGCGCTTTAATTCCAATGTTTCCCATAAACTTTCAAATGATAAATTTAATCGAATTTTATTTTTTTAATTCACACACCAATTTAGGAGAAAGAAAAGACAAGACGCCTTGAGAAGGGTTCCCGAGGCTCCGTTTGTTTAGGGGAAACAAGTTCCATAAGAAAACCAATTTCGAGAAAATTATTTTTCTGGAAATTGTTTTTCAAGAAAATATTTTTTGCTGTTTGGTAATTATATGAAAAAGCTACTTGGAAAATATATTCCAACGTTTGTTTGATACGGAAAATTAAAATACAAAAACTTATGTGATTGTTATATCAACAAGTTTTGAGAAAATTTTAAAAAGACATTCATAATTTCATAATATAAGATACATTTAAAAAAACTTAATAAATTTTCATCAATACTAACTCTAAAATTTTAATTCAAAAAATAAAATGTACTATTTAACAATCAAACCAAATCATCAAAATTACTTGAGACAAAATTAAGTCAATATTCATATTTGGTAAAAAAAGATTCTAAGTAATCTTAGCATTATTATTTTAGTAACTCAATTAAGAATTTTTTTTTAAGAAATTGAACTGATAATTTAGTCTAAAAAATAATTTTATAAGTTATTTTTTATCATCTATAGATAATTATTTATTTGATCTCAAAAGATTAATGTTGGAATAATTTGTAACTAATTATTCATTACAATTACCAACAAAATTTTACAATTGATTAAAATTATAAATTATTGATTTAATTGCAAATGAATAGTGTTGAAAAAATAATGTATTTATTGATGAATTAATTAATTTTAATTTCTTTTTACAAAAAATTCTAATCTTGTAATAATCATTTTCAATCATTTAACTATAGCTTAGGTAGTGATCGAGACAATAGTAAAAAAAAGAGATAAGTTATTGAAATATTTATTATAAAAATACTTTTAAGGTGTAAAAATGGTTTTTAAGAATATTTAATGTATCTATAAATAAATAAAAAATCAAATATTAGTAAAGATAGAGAAAAAATAATTAAATAATTGATAATAATTGATAAGAAATAATTAAAAATTAATATGGTATATTTTAAATAAAAAGAAGATAGAGAAAAAAATTGTTAAAATATATCGAGAAAGAGTTATGTAAGAGAGAGCGAGAGAACTTGTGAAAAGGAAAATGTTTTTCTCTTTTGAAACTGGTAAAACATTTTCTCAAAATTATTCTATCATTTTTCGTTGACTGAAAATCATTTTTCATTGATTTTTTTTCTAAATGTGAAACAAACATTGAAAAATGGGTTTTCCCCTAAACAAACGCAGCCTGAGTTAAAGGAAAATGCCAAAAAGACGAGACAAACGAAAGCAAGGAGATTAACCCTTTTTATTGGCGTCCTAATTATATGGACTGGCCCAAATATAAAGACGGGCCTTGATTAACTCTTTTTATTGGAGTCCTAATAATATGGAGTAGGCCCAAAGATAAAGAGTCCAGGCCCATCAGGTCGTCGAATCTCCGTCTTTAAACGGCCACTGATTTTTCCCATTCTATTCAGGACAGAAATAGCTATCTTCGAAACTTATATAAACCCTACCTCCTCTTGGCATCCCACACTCTATCCCCTGTTTTTCTCTCAGATAATCTCTGATTTCAATCCTCAGGTACCAAAGCACGAGATTAAGAATCCATCTGAATTTTTATCGTGTTCTTCTCTGTCTAATTTTCTCTCTTACTTTCTGTGAATTAATTTTCCCATACAGTTTATTTATTTTTTCTTTTGGACAGATCTGCACAGTTGTTATTCCTATCTATCTTTAACAACATGAAGCCAGAATACAAGAAAAGCTCCTCCAACGCTAACAAACTTGACGTTACCATGCCAAGCATCAACAATTATTCGTCTGCGTTCGACTTTAGCAATTTAATGGATTCACTTCAAGTCGTTGACAACGTACAGAAGAAAATACAAGATAAGTTGGAACGGCGGAGGAATGATGAGAGGAAAATGTTATCGAAGGCGCTTAATGCTATTGAAAAGAAACAGAAAGATTGGCAACTTTCTTTGGGATGGATTAAGAAGAAGGAGGCAGTTGAAAAGATGAGGCAGATGTACAGACATAGACAAATAAAGAATCTGGCTCGCAATCCTAGTGGGCAGGCTAAACGTAATTCGCGTTTTAGGCTTAGCATGCTAGAGAAAATACTAAAGAGGAGGGAAGCGTTGATGTGCGAATTCAACAAATTAAGAGGGGTATATGGTATGTGATTAATTAGCTTATTGAGGACTAGGGTTTTGAGTGCTTTTCAGATATTTGATAGGATTGGTGTAAGCTGTCGGATATGGTGGCCTTAGGGTTTTTTTTTGTTTTTTTTTTGTGAATTCACTCCTTTTCTTTAGGTGCAAGTTAAATAAATTTTGAGAAGACCTAAACTTCAATTGAAACAGGCTAACGAGTGGTGGAATATGAAACTTAGACCACGATCTCACAAGTTTTTATTGTATATCTTACGCCGATATTCTATCTTTATGGATTTTAAATTTGATATTTAATTTTTTACTATTCATTAATTGTTACTCTTCCGTCTCTATATGTTGAAGGCATTATTGTCTTATCTAGGCATTAATTGTTTAGTTTAATTTTAATTAAGCTTCATGCGTATAAATATTTTTCTCTATGTTTTAGGAATTTTGTTTTGCTTGTTTCACGAGTCTAACTCATAAGATTGTCTATAATTATTATCTTTTGATGATACTAAAAGTATTTTTATCTAAAAGACATCTTTTTTGTTCCAGTTTAGATGAAATTTAACTCATATAATTATCTAATATTATCTATTTTAATCTCTCTATCTAAATATGGTGCAAAATAAACTTTGTATTATTTATTTTTTTTTTCAACTCATATACCAAGATTCTTAGTAAAAATAGTTTGTTATATGATTTGAACTGATCTTTTGTCGTAAAAGATTATTGTTATTGAACTACAAACTATTTAGTTTTATATTATTTAAAGTTGAGACAAACCTTGATCCAATTCTTTGAAAGCTACATTTACCGAAGACAGAATAAATTATAGTATCCTAGCTAGGTTTGGTGCTTAGCTAGGTAAAGTAAGTAAAAGTAAGCCATATCAGAAACTATCCAATTTAAGATATTTTCATGTCGGCATTAAATTGTATTTTCAAGTTTCTATTCTAAAACACAAGAATTAGTAGGATATAGAAGAGAATACCATGTTTCAGAATTTTCGGATCCTGTTTACTAATCTATTTATCTCTAACATATTGCTTATACCTTGAAGTTCATTTACTTGCTCTACAACTCCAATGGAACAATGCAGCTGCAACAGTTCATAATTATTCTCGGAGCTGCAACATTATTCTTGGCACAAATGCCATCTTAATTTCCATTCTCTTAGGCATATTAACCTTGTTTCTTTGATCCTTAATTTGTCTTACTTACAGTGCCTGCGTCGCAGCCAGGTTCCATAGACATTAGTAAGAAAAATCACTGGTCATTGTGAGAAGTTTCTCTTTGCATACATTCATCCATACAATACTTTTATCTCAAGAAAATCCAAGAATGCACCTTCTAAGGAGCACTCCATTGATGCATCTCAAGATTAATGTCATTTCGTTGCCTTTTCTGGTTATTGGGCATTTGAAAATCAGGCTCTGCCTACAATTCTTGCCAATTTTATGGCTGATAGCAAGCCATTGCTGTCTACTCGGTTTCCACTACAAAAAAAAACAAAGGATTTGTGAGAGAAAATTAGCGACAGACCTCAAAACCATCGCTAATTTACTAAAATTGCGACGATCCGAATTATTTTAACGAGAGAAATTAACGACGGTTTTTTGCAAACAAACTGTAGCTAATTTCAACTTTTTTATCAAAAAAATTCTATAGCCATTTTTGCGACCGTTTTTGTAAAAAAACCATCGTCGATCATGGAAATTAGCGATGGTTTTTTTCTAAAAAAAACCGTCGCTAATTTCAATCTTTTTTAAAAAAAAATTTCTGCAACCATTTTTTGCCATGGTTTTTGTAAAAAGACCGTTGCTAATAATGAAAATTAGCGACGGTTTTTTCCAAAAAAATCTGTCGCTAATTTAATTTTTTTTAAAAAAAATTATGTAACTATTTTTTGCGACGGTTTTTGTAAAAAAATCGTTGCTAATTTCAATTTTTTTTAAAAAAAATATTTCTTCCAACCTTTTTTGCGATGGTTTTTTTATAAAAAAAAAAGTCACAAAATTAGTAAATTAGCGACGATCTAAAAACCGTCTCTAATTAAGACGAAAATGGCTATTTTTTGAACTTTTTCAGTACATTTAGCGACGATTTGTAAATCGTTGCTAAAACTTTCAACCCTTATATAACAATTTGCCTCAAAATTTGTAAGAAAAAATTTCTTCTCTCTCTTCTTCTTCCTTCTCCAACGTCGATCTCTCTTCCATTTCCATTAAATTTTCCCCCTCTCCTTTTTATTTTCCTTCCAATCTCCTCTTCTCTCTCTCCTCCTTCCCTTTCTCCCCTCTATATCACCCCTGTTCTTCCTCCTTTTCCTCTTTCTTTCTTCCTTTCTCCCCCTTCCTCAGCTCGGCCATTTTTCGACCGTAATAGTCCGACGAAGCCTCTCTACCAGTGCAACCCACTCTCCTCCTTATGTTGGTAAAAGGTCATCTCTCATCTAACCCCTTAATTAATTTTTTAATTTTTTTCAATTATTTACTTAATTTTAAATTTTTTTGTTTATTTTTTTGTTATTATTAATTGTTAATTGTTAGTTTATTGTTAATTATTATTAATTGTGAGAGTTTAATTGTTTAATTATTAATTTTATTGTTAAGGAAATTTAATTGTTATTAATTTTTGTTGCTAATTTAATTGTTATTGCTATTAGTTTAATTGTTAATTGTTATTGTTAATCGGTAATTTTTAATTGTTAATTTAGTTAGTTTATTGTTAAATTTTATTTATTAATTTAGTTAGTTTAATTGATGGTATTTTGGAAAGTTAATTATTTTAGAAAATTGTTCATAAGTTATTAAAAATATTTAAAATTTTTGGTAATTACTAAAATAATTAGTCATTAAAAAATTAATAATTTTTGAAATTATATTTAGTAATTAAAAAATTAATTAGTAATTAAGTTTATTTAGTTGTTGATTAAGTAAGGGAGTTAAGTAATTAAAAAATTAATTAATTTTGAAATTTAATTTAGTAATTAAAAAATCAATTAGTAATTAAGTTTATTTAGTTGTTGATTAAGTAAAGGAGTTATGTAATTAAAAAATTAATTAATTTTGAAATTTTGTTTAGTAATTAAAAAATTAATTAGTAATTAAGTTTATTTAGTTGTTGATTAAGTAAAGGAGTTAATTAATTACGAAATTAAGTAGTGATTAAAAAATTAATTTTTTTGTAAATTATATTTAGTAATTAAAAAATTAATTAGTAATTAAGTTTAATAATAATAAACTTTCTACTTTTTTCAAGAATTTAATCATTGAATAATATTTATTACATTTTAATAAATTTTATAATAAAACTTATGAAATTTTAAAATATTATGTTTTGGATATTTTATAGACTTTTAAATAGCAATTGGTTAATTTCAAATGAGGGTAAATAATAATAATAATAATATTTTAGTGACGGAATTAGCGACGGTCTAGACCGTTGTTAATTCCAAATATTAGTGCTAGTCTAAAACCCTCGCTAAAACAAGTCATAAAACTACGACGGTTTTTTCCGTCGTTAAAATAGTGACGATCCAAAAACAGTAGTACAATTTTAACTATTAGCATTTTATCAATTATTTTTGGACCATCGCAAAACCGTCGTTAAATCCTTTTTCTTTTTTTATAGTGTTCTTTTGTTAACCAACATCTTCACTCTTGTGCAATTGGCTGCTATCACTGTGGTGCCACCTATAGCGGAGTTGCGGTCTGTTTACAACCATGTAGCATGGGCTAGCTGTTGCAGATTTACTTGCAACCAACAAATGAAGTGTCCGAAAAATGGTTTGCGGATCCAAAGATGGATCGATTCTCTATCCGCAGCGTCACACCGAGGTTGATTTTTCTAACACTATCGGTTATAATCACTACATTTATCGCAGCAATGTTACCTTTTTCTTCGGAGACATCATGGTGCTATTTGGAGCATTTGGATGCATTCCTTTGGATTTCCACTGTCACCTTTATAAAATAGAGCATCAGCAATCTGATCTGATGCAATTAGCACTGTGATGATAAGATAACTTTTTGGTATTCTTCAAATGCTTCCAGAAATAGTGGCCATGAATTTAATAATGAATATTGCTTTATAAAATACAGCACGTGAATTTGACTTCCAATGTCACCCTAAAGTTCTATAAAATAAAATTAATCACTTGGCCTTTATGTGATATCTCCAAGCAACAAGTCTCTTTCATTTTATTGCCTTCATTTAATTTAAAAATGGACCATCTTTTGGATTTTCCTTGCAAATTGAACTTTCTTCCGATTTGGCCTGATGTAGTTTCCAGGTGCACCCCACTTTTCTTTAGTTTAGTGTATATTCATAATCTTGGGTCATACGAGTATTAAAAACCTTTGACCAAAAAAAAAAAAGTAACCCAAATTCAATGCTACAGTGACTATATAGTACCACAGCCTTACATTTTATGATGTTGACATGTTAGCCGTCGCGGATGACCAGTTCCCTGTACCAGCTTGATTGGCTTCTTGGCTATCTTATCTGTCCATGTTATTAAATCCTAGTAGTTGATGCTGGAATCTCCCACTGCATAGATACTGTGTGCTGCTCTGGCTCAAAGCACACGAAGAGAGAGAGAGATGGCAAATGTGGTTCCTAACTCCATTAACATATCAAAAACAGACAAGGAAAATGGGGTCATTGATTCTTCAATAGAACTTGATGCTGGTGCTCTGTTTGTCCTCAAATCAAGAGGTTAGTTGTTTATACATGAGTCTGAATAGAAACAAATTTCATTTCAGGTAGACAGAAAAGTGTCTTAATTTCTGTGCATCATTGATCATAGGATCTTGGATACACTGTGGATTTCATTTGACAACATCAATAGTTGGTCCGGTGATCTTTACTCTCCCCTTTGCCCTAGCTTTACTAGGCTGGGTACCTGGAATTCTATGCATAACACTTGCAGCTTTAGTGACGTTCTATGCGTACAATCTTTTATCCCTGGTTTTGGAGCACCAGGAACAGCTTGGGAAGCGACAGATTCGATTCCGGGACAT